TCCATCAACTTTGAAGGACAGTTTTGCAGGGTACATCAGTCTGGGTTGGAAGTCATTTTCCTTTAGGATTTGAAATTTCACTCCATGCTCTTCTTGACTTCATTGTTTGTGTTGAGAAGTCTGCTGCAATTCTGATTGGCTTTCCTGTATAGGTGATGTGTCTTTTCTCTCTAATAGCTTTTAATATTCTGTTCTTCTGTTGAATTTCTGGAATGTTGATTATTATATGTCTGGGTGTAGATTTATTTTGGTTATGGCTAGTTGGAGTACTATATGCCTTAATTATCTGTACATCAGTTTTCTTCCTATGTTTGGGAAATTTTCAGCTATTCTGTAAATAGCCTTTTGATATCATTTGTGTTGGCACCTTATTTTTTGTTAACACCTATCAATCTTACATTATTTTTCTTTGCATCACCTTGCAACTTTTGAATGAATTGTTATTTCCTGATTTCTTTGTTATTTTTGAAAGATATTTCCTTTACTGTTCACTATCTGCAATCTTGTCTTTGAGGTCTGAAAGTCTATCTTCACATTCATTCAATTGTTTTTTCCAGTTTCAAAGGAAATTTTTTCCCCATTTTTATTGGTACTGGGGATCAGACTCACGACCGCCTGCTTGCAAGGCAGGTGCTTAAGCTTCTGAGCTAAATCCCCAGCCCCAAGTTTCAAAGGAATTTTTGATTTTGTAGATATTTCTTTGAATCTGTTTCATGCATTCTATTTTTTCTTATATTGTTCATTCCATGTTTCCATCTTTTTGCAGTTCTCCTCAATTTTAAAACTATATCTTCTGCAGACGTATTCAGCATTTCTTTTATTATATTTCTTATTTCTTTTTTTACCTGGAAGATTATTTCTGATCTGAGTTCTTTTATGGCTTCACTGAGTTGTTTCTTTATTTCAGTTGCTATCATTTCAGAAGTTTCAGGTGTATGGCTTACACTTTCTTCTATATCCATTTCTCTTGGGCTTGTTTGGGGTAGGTTGGGGTCTGAGATTGCATTTTTCTGTTTTGTTTTGCCATTTTCTGTTGGGAGCCGCGGCTATGCTAGGCCACCATGCATAACAGCCATGGGGCCTGTAGGAAAGAGCAAAGCCTGAGCTAGATTACCCCTCCCATCGAGGGCGCCAAGATGGCGCCTGCGTCCTGCTTCCTGGGTGTCCTTGCCGCATAAACAGCCTGCCTCACAGAATAATCTGCCTAGCAACAATTGATGTTAGCCAATTAGCTTGCATTACCCGCTTCGCTTTGATTGGGTGCTGTGACTGCATATAAGCGAGTGCCTCTCCCGCCACGAGGGGAGAAGCACGGAAGGAGCCGCGGAGAGCGGACCGGTAGAGGCTTCGGCCGGGTAGGATCCCGGGGCAGACTGTACGGAGAGAAAATAAAGAAAAGCCTGACCACCGCCAGATATTGTTGCGTGTTCTTCCTGCCGGCCAGGAGCGACACCGACAATTTTCCTGTATTCTCCTGGGGAAATCAAATGCAAGGTCTCAGTTGCTTCTTGGGTTGAGGTTATCTGTCTGCACTGCAGGGAGTTTCCCCAATTGAGTGGGGATCATTAGGCAGGCCTACCAGGTCCCTATTGGCACTTGAAGGCTCCTCAAATGATGGGAGTACACTGGGCGCCCTTTCAGCTCACCCCCATGTGGCACTCTGAAGCTCTCTGGCTGCTTGCAGTTGCTGACAGAACTATACCAGATTCTGAGTGTTGTGCCAAGCTTGAGCAGTTAGACTAGCTGCTAGGATGCTGTGCAGGCCTTTAGCTCATGCCACACGGTACACCAAAGCTTTCCCACTGTTTGGGGATGCTGCGTGGGGCCCTACCAGCTTCTGAGTGAGGTGCTGTGCTTGCATGGCTAGGTGGAGGTTGCTGTGCAGGCTTTAAGCCTGCGCCACTCAGCACAGGCAGTTTTCCTGTCCCTTGGGGTTGCTGGGCCTAGTGATAGACTAGTTCAGAGCTTTCTCAGTGCTGACTCAGAACAGTCAGTATTATTCTATGTTTATCCACTAGATTTCCATTTTTATTTCTAAATATGTGCCCTTTGTCTCTGATTTATTTGTTCATTCATTTACTGTTTTACATCAGTATGGACTCATGAATATTTATTTAATTAGTTGGGTTATAATCTAAGTTCTTTCAAGTTCTGGGTTTTGTCTTTGGGAACTGAATAAGTTAGCTGCTATAACTATTTTTCTTTCTTCCTCCTTCTTCTCTTCCCCCTCTCCCCCTTCTCTCTTATTCTTCTTCCTCTCCTCTTCTATCATTTTTTGGGTATTTCTTGCTTTCAGTACAAGGAAGTGGCTAGGGTCATTTTTTATTTTTGGTGCTCCAGCCCTGGAATCAACCAATTTTTATAAGACTCTTTTATTGGTATTTATAAACAAAGAGATAAGTATTAGATGTGCTTATTGCTACTAGAATATTACTATTTCTAATTTCTTTCAATGATCAGAATTAGGGAGCATGCATATGTACACATAGGACTCACAGACACACATTTATTTCTGTCTATCTTTTATATATTAAAGCAGACACACAGCTTGATACTTCAGACTCTAATCAGCACTACAGGGTCCATTCTTGCCTTTGCCTTTCCTTATTTGACAACAGTAATGAAGCATCATTCTTCGGATTTTATGGCCTGGAAGGCTACCATGTCTGGGGAGGAGAGGAGGAGGCACACTGGTTCTTATCACCTTGACCTGGCATTAACACTTGGCCTGGCATTCACACATGTCACTTGCAGTCGCAGTACATACATTGGATCAAAAATTTGTCACCTGGTCCCAACCAAACATTAAATGGTTCTGGAAAGAGTATGGGAGCATGGGGAATCAGTACTAAAATGATTGTCTCTCTGTCCTGTTCTGTTCTTTGAATACTTGGTCTCCTGCACTGTACTTTAATCCTCTTACCCTTTATTTATGCTGGTTCATTTCATTTGAGATATTTTGTGGAATCAAAATTCATATTTGGATGTAGTCAAAGTTTATTATATATAGCCGAGTTTATTATTTTCTTCTTTAAGATTTCTGCTTACTTTTCTTTTTTTGATTTGAAAGTTAAATGTACCAAGAATCACCACTTACTAGAAACAGAAGCACAACAATAAAAATCTCTATAGGAGCTGGTACTGTAGAAACACTTGGGTATTTAGGTGGTAAACTGCTGGAGGCTTGGAATGAACTAACTAGAGAGTTAAAAATGATGGAGCTTTGTCGTAAGAAGGCTCTACACACTGTGGAGTTTTAGTTCCTGGAGCCTGGCCAGATTCTCAGAGTGAAAGCTGGAGGAAAATCCCTGTGCACTGGGAGGCGGAAAGAAGAGTAACTATTTGAAATATATCCAATGAATTGTTTTCTTTTTAATAAAGGGATTCCTTTGAGAGAGTATTTTATCAGAGCATAAGGGAAGGGAAACACTCAACTTCAGTCCCCTAGGCCTTTAACACAGAGTGGGAGTATGCCCAATCAGTCCCCGATAGCTTTCCTGTCTTGCATCAGTAGAGAAAAGGGAATATATATTTATGAAGCTTGTAGGCCAGGGGCATTGACACACTAAAGACCAAGACCTAATTATATATCCCTTCCTGCTGGATCACAATTGAAAAAAAACCTGTAAGTCTCAGAGTCTACTTAAAAAAGGGTGTCTGGAGAAGACCAAAGACAACACAGAAGACAGAAACGTGGATGCCAGAGGAAATTGTATCCTCCGATATTTCTGAGCTATAGCAAACTGCAAAGACAGCCTAACTGCCTGCCAGATCTATGTAATTCTTCACATTAAAGGCCTGCCTACCCAATTCCTTTGACTTGATACTAACTTCTGTCTGCCTTGACAAAAAAATTACAAGCATTGTTAAAAACAACAATAACAAAAACGATGAGGAATGCCATGAAGCAAGCTTCAGAACCAGATTTAGATATGGTAGAGATTTGGGATATCAAATCATCATTCAAAATAACTATTGCTACTAGTTAAGAGCTGTAATGGAAAAATATGGACAACACAGAAGAACAGATGGGTAGCTTAAGTAGAGGAAATGCTCGAAGTAAAAACCCTGTAGCACAAATTAAGAATGCCTTTGAAGGGCTCATTAATGGACTGGACATGGCCAAGGAAAAACTCAGCAAACTTGAATATAGACCAATAGAAACTTCCTCAAAGTTTCTTTCTCTTTGAAAACAAAGAGAAAAGAGAATTTTAAAAATTAACAGAATATCTAGGATGTAGGGGACAGTTACAAAAATTGTAGCATGTGCATAATAGAATACTCACCTAAAATACAAGAAAGCCTATTTTTTTATTTTAAAGGAATTAAAGTTAAGAACAACAAAACAGAACAAAATAAGAAAGCAATGTAAGAGATATAAATTTCAAAGCTAGATGACCTGAGATCTTCACTATCATATTGTCTCTTATTTTCTTCCAAATAGTTGTCCATGTCTTCCTTCACGTACAGAGAATTCATACAAAACAACATAGTATAAAACTGATCTGAACAGAATCAGGCATTTTAGGTCTTCAAACACAGACAATAGGGTAGTCACTAATGGCTGTTGTAGAGTCTCTCCTTCTCTTCAAAATAGTTGTCTATATTTTCACGTATATTGAAGCTCAACAAAACAAAACAGGCTAAAATAACACCTTTAATTTTCAGAACAAAGCAAAACAGTGATAAAAGTATTTGCCTTCAAAGAGATGGTAGAAGAAATCCCCCCTATTTGCTACATTGCCTATGGTCATCCTCTCAAGGGATGTCCAGATCACCGGCTCCCACTTACTAGTGGTGGTGGTGGGGGGTGTGATGTTTGATTCTCAGCCTGTGTGTTGGCAGGCTCACAGCCGCTCACCAGGGTGGAGGGGTTGCTTGGATTCCCCGCGCTCCAGGTCCCAGCATGGTGAGGGTCCCATTAAATGCTGGTGGCTTCTGCCTGGGCCACCGCAGCGTGCCACACTCACAGCCGCTCACGGTGTGGGGAGGGGTTGCTTCAAGCTATCTTTTTCATGAATTGACCCTTTCACTGCCCAAGTTCTGAAATGGCCAACAGATCATAGAAAGTCATCTCTTTAGACTCCTGATTGAAACCAACAGTGTCAGGAAGCTGCTGGCCTTGATTCAGAGCCAGCAGAAAACTATTGAACAGAAGACTGTTTGAGGTAACCATGGTTGAAAAATTTCCAAAGTGGAGGTTCAGGTATATCAGAATATATCAAACAAGATAAACAGTTAAAAGTCTACACCCAGGTATGTCATTTTCAATCTTCAGAAAATCAAAGGCAAAGAGAAAAATTCTTTAAACAAACCCAAATAGGGACACATTTTACCCATATAGGAGCAAGATAAGGACAAAATCAGCCTTCTTTCTGACAACCATGAAAAAAAAGAACAGAATGAAGTGAAATTTAAAGTTTTGAAAGGAAGAAAGAACCCCAAAAGCAAGAACTCCAGCCTAGAATTCTGTATTAAGTGAAATTATCCTTCAAAAGTGGAAGAAAAATAAAACCATTGCCAGACAAGCAAATACAAAGGTATTTTATTTTCAGTAGGTCTGACTTGAAAGACATAATAATAGAAACTCTTCAGAGACAAGAAAATTGAATATTTTACAAATTCAGGAGTACCTAAAAATAAAGAGCATTAGAGAAAAAATAAAGGTAAAAATAAAATAAAATTCTTTTATTTTTCTTATTCTTTGTTGACAGTACAATGTTTTGTATAAGACAATAATAGAATGTATTGAGTTATTATAGCTTATGGGTTTGTGAAGTGAGTAACGTAAATATAAAAGAGTGCATCATGAGTTGGAAGTACTTTGTAATAAGGTAATTGAACAAACCCATGAAGTGGCATAGTGTTATTTGAAACCAAATTTAGACTATTTGTAAATGTATGTTGCAAACTACAGGGAAATTATGAAAAAACGTTATAAAAATGCACTTGTTATATCAAGAGACAACTGAACCATATCTGTTAAACAAATTAAATGGATAATTAATAATCTTCCAAACAGGGTATCTGTGTATAATTTCATTAGTAATCATTACCAAATATTTAAGGAAGAAATCATAGATGTTCTTTAAAAGCCCCCCCCCCCCAAAAGAAAAGTACAGGGCATACTTTTGAAGTATGACACCAGTATTACTTTTATACCAAAGCCAGATAAAGAAATTACAATAAACATAAAAAAGCACAATATTTCTCTTGAAGATATATGGAAAAATTCTTAACAAAATTTTAAGTAATCAAAGAATAAAACATTGTATAAAGAGGACTATTCTCCAAGACCAAGTAGATTTTATGCAAGTATGCAAGGCCAGTTAAACATTCAACAGTCAGTGAATGTAATCCATCACATCAGCAGTCTAAGGAAGGAAAACCAGATGATTATATCAATAGATGGAGAAAAAGCATTTGGCACAGTCCTACTTCAGATAAAAATCCTCAACAAAGTCGGAATAAGAGGGGATTTCCTTCCTTGAAACATACATCTGCAAAAATCCCCCAGTTAACATTTTAATGAATGTGAGAAAGTAGAAGCCATTCCCTTGTGACCAGGAATAAGGCAAATATGTCCACTTTTACTACTTATTCAATACAGTCCAGGAAACCCTACTTAATATGACAAGGAAAGGAAACTCGAAGAGTGCAGATTGGAAAGCAATAGATAAAACTGTCATTGTTTGAAAATGATCTGACTCTCTAGGAAATTCCAAAGAAGAATAAAAAAAAAGCAAAAACAAGAAAAAACCCCAACACACACACACACACACACACACACACACTCACACACAATTCTTGAAGAAAGACACAGGTGTAGGAAAGTATTTCTGAACATAACCCTACTTACAGAAGAAACAATACTAAGAATCAACAAATTAGATCACATCAAATTATAAAGCTTCTGCACAACAAAGGGAACCAACAACAGAGTAGAGACAAACTGCAGAATGGGAAAAAAATTTGCCAGTTGCTCCTTAGGCAAAGGATTAGTGTCTAGAATACATAAAAAATAAAAAACCCCACCAGACACCAGATTTAAAGACCTAATTACAAATCAGAATCTAAAAATAATGAGAATCTAATGAATAGACACTGCTCGAATGAAGGAACACAAATGATTAATAAATACATGAAAAAATATTTCACATCTCTGGACAGTCAAGAAATGCAAATTAAAACAACGCTGAGATTTCCTCTCACTCCAGAAAGAAATCAACCAATCCTCAATGCTGGTGAGGTTGTGGGAAGAAAAGAACCCATCTTCATTGTTGGTGGGACTGTAAACTGATACAATCCCTGTGGAAATCACTATGGAGATTCAGGGCAGAACTAAAGGCAGAAATTCTATTTGAGCCAGATATTCCACTTCTATCTTTCCATAAGAGATAAAAATATCACACCACAGTGATGTATGCATCCCCTTCTTTATAGTAGTACAATTCATAATAGCTAAATCTTGTAAACAGCCTATATGTCCATTAACGGATGAACAGATTTTAAAATGTATTTATGCGTAGTGGAGTCATTTGTAGGAAAATGGGTATATCTTGAGATTGTAATGCTAAGCAAGGTACCTGAGATTTGCATGTTGCATGGCTTATCTCATGCAAAAAGTTCAACAGATATAAAGTATGTAATAAAAGGCATAAAAGGAAAAGTGAGACAGAAAGAAAAAAAGATTCTGATTCAGTGTAAAGTGGTGTATCTAAAAATGTACCTTGATTTAGTATAATAGTTGTGCATACTTTTTAGGTTCTTTGATCTATTGGTATAGTTTTCCAATATGTTTGTATCAGTGATGGAGAAGATATAACACACATGGTACGGCTGGCTGTTTGTATCATTGAAATCTCTACCAGGTTTGCTCAAGTATGTGTAGTGGCACATTCCTATAATCCCAGAACTCAGGAGGCAGAGGCAGGAGGATCACCATGCTTTCTATGCCAGCTTGAGCTACATAGTGAATTGAAGGCTAGCATGTACTACAAAGTGAGACCTGTCTCAAAAAACCAAAAAAGAAGTTTTGCCACCACTGTATGTATGATAACTAATCTTACAAGGTCTTGTAAGATAAATAAAGGAATCTGAAGTTGAAAAAATAAAAGGGATGTGGTTGGAAAGTGGAAAAAGGATTAAAATATGTTATGTATATATACCAATTCCTTACAGTGAATACAATTATTGTGTACTACAAACATGTAGAAATAAAAGAAAAAAAGAAATAATAGCTTATTAAAAACAAGATAAAACAACAACAACAAAAGAAAAAACAAACAGTCTCTACGGTAAGCAGTAGGAGATCATAGCAAGGTTGCAGGACATAAATGATATTATACAGATGTCATTTGATGTCATATATATCACAAATGAGTACATTAAATTTGAAATTAAATAAAATAATTTACATTAGAACCTCACTCCTCTAAAGTAAACATATAGTGTAAGTTGAAATATGTACTAGATCCACGTGAGGAAAGATACAACTTTCATGAAAAAAGTAAAAAAAATCTTAATAAATGAAAAGATAGTCTATATTTAAGGATAGATACACTCAATGGTGTCAAAGTGCTAGCTCTTCCCAACTGGTCCATAAATTTCAGATAATTCCAGTCAAACTCTCAGTATTTTTCTATGGATATCAAGAAACTGTAAAGTTCATATGAAGATGTGTAAGATTTGAAATGGCGGACATAATACTGAAGAAGACAAAGGTTCAAACACTACCTGATTTTAAGACTTACTGTAAACCTATGATAATCAAGATACGCTACGCTAAGATGGAACCATGAGATACAACAGCAAAATCTAAAAATATGCTCACACAAGTTTAGTCAACTGATCTTTGACAGAGGAACAAACGCAACAGAAAGATGACTGTCTTTCCAACAAACGGTGCTGCAACAACTGGGCAGCCATGCACAAAAATCGAATATAAATACAGACATTTCACTTTTATAACTTAACTAAAAATAAACCATAGACCTAAATGCGAACCTTCCAGTAAAAATAGGAGAAAAACTATGTGACTTCATACTTTACAGTGCTCTTTTGCATATAAACCAGAAATATGATCTAAGAAATAATTTTATTGACAGTTGTGGGACTACTTAGAATTTCTATTTCTTTTTGAGTCAATTTTGGTAATTGTTCCAGTTTTTGAATAACAAATTAACTCTCACACTTAGTGGCTTTGTTTTTTTGCTATTGGGGATTGAATTCATGACCTCGTGCTTGCCAGGCAGGCACTGTGCCACTGAGCTATATCCCCAGCCTTACTTACTGGTTTACAATGGCCATTTTTATCATATTCATCTATTTTATAGCTAAGAATTCCATCAGGTCACAGTGGGAGCATCTTGTTTGTCCCAGGATGTCTAGGCCTTTGTCTGAGAAGATTCCATGGCAGGGCATGACGTCATGGCCCAGAGGTGCAGTCATCTAAGGTATCGTGATTTTCTTATCTGGTGATTGATGCTGACTCTCCGCTGTAGCTTCAGCCTAGCTCTTGTATAGTATGGTGCCTCTGGAGTAGTTAGATTTCTTTTTTTAAAATTTTGCTTAAAGAAAGACTAAACAAAACAGAAAATAGGTAGAAATAGTACATACGTTCAGAGAAAAAATAAACAGTAAGAAATCAGTAGTTGATGTTTACATATTTTCATTTTACAAATAGTTGTTCAAGATACAAAAGTGGAACATGTAAAGTGGGAATTCAAACAGCGAGACTGCAAACAGTTCTGTTCAACTGTCCAACAAAAACTTAGTAACATGGTTGTCAATCCTATACACTTAAACATACATGCAGTTATCTATATCTTCATTTATGTTTAGATTAAACAAACTAAAGCAGGTTAAAATCATTCTGAACAAAGAATAATAGTTTTGGTAGATTTCACATCATGACACTCCAGGATCAGCACTGGGTACTGTGGTGTCTTTTTTTTTTTTAATTTAATTTAAAGAAAGACTGAACAAAACAGAAAATGGGTAGAAATAATACATAATTTCAAAGAAAAAAATAAACAGTAAGAAATCACTAGTTGATGATTATAGATTGTCTTCTTACAAATAGTTATTCAAGATACTAAAGTGGAGCATAAAGAGTGGAGTTTCAAACAGTGAGAT